GATCTCTGTCCAGAAGAGCGCAGTCCTGGGAACAGCTAAGATGCTGCGCAGGACCCTCAAGCTCCCAGGCCTCTGGTAGAGGACCCGAGCTTGAAGGATAGAACCCCCGCAGGGGCAAGCGAGGAATTTATATATATATATAATATATAAAATCTCATGAGTAGGGTGAGAAGCTGGAAAAACAGAAGCAGCTGGTTGGCTGAGCTGATTTGATCAGTTCTCCTGGTTTATTACTGCTCTGTAAATTCCAGTAGCTTTAAAGAATTTATGCTTTTATTATTTATGTGGGTTTTTTTATTAAGTAGATGTTCATTGCACTGTGAAAATAATAGTTTACTCTTTTTTTAAAGTGACTTCAATTACTTTGCCTCTTGTTTGGGTGGTTAATGTCTTACACCTGGACTACTTTAAAGCCATGACAAAGTCATTCATCTTTCAAAGACCGATGGGTTGCATGCAACAGGAAAAAAAAAAAAAAACTTTCAGAATAAGAAGCCTTTAGATTTTGAATGTAACTAAACAAATGTCTGCACACATGGTTTTATATAATCACAAGTGGAACTAAGCGATGCTTTGTGACCTGTTTTCTGCCACTTGGTCCTTGTATACAAGATAGATCAAAATCTAGGGAAAAATACAAAAACCTCAAACTGCTGCCTCCACTTGTGTAAATTAAAATTTCAGATGAGCAGTCTCAGCTGTTTTAAAAGGAGAAAAATAAAGAATGAATATTTGAACTGTATTTTTGCCTTTATTTATTATACGCATGTATTATATGTATGTATGTGACGATTTTAGAGGAATGCAACCTCTTTGCCATTTATCTCAATGGCTTTCTGAAGCACCTGAATCACTTTAGTAATGCTTACTTACTTTTTTAAGGTTGTGTGGTTTTTACAAGTAAATCAAAAGCTCATTCTATGAAAATTCAGTTAATACATTTTCATTTTAAGCAGCTGAATAGGAGTTATTCAAGGCATTACCTGCCACACTGCTGACTGCTGGGGGTCCATCAGTAGTCTGCCAAGCCTCTCATAGAGGTTACTGAGCAGCTCTGCCCCCAACATTTCATACACGTACATCAAAGTGTCCGAGATGTCGACCCTACAAAGTCAGGAAAACATATTTGTAAAGTTGGTCTTGGGCATTGAAGAAAGATTATCAGTGCAGATTATTAAAGTCAGCCTCCAAATTTCAATCAAACAGAAAAAATATTAAGACCAGACCCACCTGTAAATACGAAACTGCTCTTTGTCATCAGAGGACCAGGAGGCGTACTCTTCCTGGGAGGGATAGTGGGATTTATGAAGCAGCACGTCCACCAGTTGGAAGTAAACTGGCCTGTAAACCTGCAGGTAAACAGACTGCTTCTCCTCCTCAAATGACAAAATGTCATCCTAAAAATGATAACAAGCTGATTTTGTAAAAAGGAAGTATAAATCTTTTGTCCTAATGGACAACACGTTAATACTTGACTCTCCATACCTGCAGAGTGTACCAGAAGGTGAGAGTAAGAGAACTCGTGGTCTCATTAACTGGGTAGTGTCCAGGGATGCCCGTGCAGAAGAGAATCATGTTAACCAGAGCTAGATATTCTTGCCAGTGGTCCACCTGTTCCAACAGAACTCTGTCACAGGGAAAGAAATGTAAGAAATAAAAGAACATTTCAGACATAAAAGACAAATGGTGGAGCCCAGGTACAGGGTAGAGAGTGTGTGTGTAGTTGTGTGCTACTCTGTGTACCTGGAGTGTGTTTCCCCTAAAGCAACTGCAATTCGACAGATACCATGTGAGGTTTCCATGTCCCCATCATGAGCTGCTGTCTTCAGTTGGTCATAGAGGCCCAGCACCAGAGGCATCAGGCTCAGTAGAGCATTAATGTACCTGCACACAAATGTTTGGAGTCATCCACCCATATACTGCATGTCACTCATCATCACCTAATCATCCAGCTGTGCTTCTCACCTTTGGCAGTCGGGCTGTGAGATGGCGTTAACTACCGTCTCCACAGCTGCGTCAAACAGCTCTGGGTCGGACAACGCGGTGAAGCAGTCCTGGAGCAGTTCCTGGATTTCCCCCAAAGGCACATCTAGCGCCACCCAGCTAGACAAGCATTTGAGCACCTTCTCTTTCACCTGACTCGATGAGTCCTGGCTCTGCATGAGCTGTCGCAGCAGAGGACACACCACTGCCCACTCTCCGGCAAGAGCCTCCCTCAGCTGGCCTCGCCGAGCTTGAGCCAAGCGGCTGCTCTGGAACTCCTCTGGAAGCACGGTGAGAAGCTCTAGCAGAGTGAGACAATGTGTGTGGGGGTCCTGAGAGGCCTTTGCTCCAGAGCCATCTTCAGGATCAGGTTTGTGCGGTTGGAAAGCCCTCACCATGTCCGCCACCGGCTGAGACCAGGCCTGGGGAATTACGTTAAGAGCCAAAGAGGCCAGTGCTACACACAAACGAGTCAGCACCATTTTAGGCCCAGAAGAGAACTGCAAGATATGGCTGAGCAGTTGCGTCCTCAGGCTCTCGTGCTGCTCTGCAGCGAGGTCACTCCAGTGACGGGAGATCTTGGTGTGCAGGGTGCTGGCACCGAAGAACTGAACCTCTGGGATCTGCAAAGCGACACATTCACACACGGCTGCTCTTAGTTTCACATTCAACCAGGCTGTATTAAGTTGTGGTGCCTAATGTTTGTTACAGAAAAGTGAAGCGTGGGGGTAAAGAGGGAAAAAACTACAGACCTTGTCAGGGCTGAGCAGGGCCCAGCAGAAGTGCCAAGCCTGTGCAGAGGCCTGGGCCTGGGTCAGCCACTTCTGGGCTACATTCTTATGCTCCATGTCTGGATCAAAGTACAGCTGGTAGAGAGCCTGGATGGAGAAACACATACCAGTGCAGAGAACAAAGTAAGCGATGTACGAAGTCAAAGGGATATGCCGAGAATATTTTAGCACATAAAACTGGCTTTAAATTTGCAGGGCAACATGTACAACAACCACTAATAATCATTAATAATGCTGGATGGCCAAATGTTTGAATTTACTGAAAAATGTGTTGTCACAGCAACTAATCCAAAGCACATGTGTTAGTTATTATTAGTACAGCAGGTGCTTCTCTCTGGCATCATATTACAAATGCTACACTTTGCCCAGTCTCTCTACGATGAGCAAACTACAGTTATTTACATGATAAAAAAAAATCGTTTCACTAATTTCGTATGAAATCATATTTATATCAGCAGAATGTGCTGCAGTTCTTTTTCTTCCTGGGAAAACATGCTGCTGTTTCCATTCCATAACTCAAACTTCCCAGTTAAATGCACGAGTTTTGACTAATATCCTAACTTACCGACTCCACATTCTCCACCGTTAACTCCAGCTCCACCGCGGTGCCTCCCGGGTTGCCTGGAGGCTCCATCTGGCACAGGGTGAAGGATTCTTTTACTGTTGCGTCTGGATATCCTTTACAACTCAAAGCCTGATTTTTTAAGGAAAAAAAATCAAAGGAGAATTCGGCGTCTTCCAAAGTGTGTCAAGACAACGCTGAGAGGGGACGCAGCGGGTCATTCAGCTGTCCGTGCGGCACACAGGTGGGCAGTGCGCTCAGCCGTGACGACACGCTGACCTCAGTGGGAACTGAGAGGTGGTTGAGCCAACCACCTTGCTGTGAGCCACAGCAAGACACTGACACACATTCAGCTGTTTGATACCGCAGACTAGTTTTCACAGTGATAAACAGCGCAGTAAAACTTGTCAAAGAGCGCGTTCACTTCGGTGTCACGGCGCTTCGAACGGGCGCTCCTGATGCACGCATCTGCGCCTCTGACGCACTGATGTGTGATTGGTGCAGCAGAGCAACAGCGACTGCAAAGTGACGCGTTGTGGACACTTCCATGTAGAGATGATTGGATAAACACCGAGACGAGAGGCCACGCGTGAGTTTGCGGTGGTTATCGGGGAAGCTTGTTTTACTCATTAGAATCTATTTCTTTGTGGTGCCACCCACCAACAGCGCCCGCATCCAGCCCCACCCCTGCTTCTCTTCTGCCTGACTCCCTCAGGATATTTTTAGAGCCCATGATGTGCCCTGTCAAATCGCGTAACGGAAACAACCCCAGAGAGCCACAGAGGAGAGCTGCTGTGTAATCTAAAGGGGGAAGCCTGCCGCCGATGAGATGAAAATTGAAATTAATTTGGTGTTTTGCGTGTTGATTGTGCTGTCCGGCACAACGCGGACAAGAGGTAAGCTGCCATTCTCTCGCTCTCTCTTTTTCTCTATGTGTCTTTGTGTTTGATGCGAACACTTCTGACATCCCGCTGATGTGAGTCGGGCTCGTAATCGACTCCGCACGCGACTATTTATTGGTGTGATTGAGGCGATGACGGAGATCATGTTGCTGCAGGTTCTTGGTTGCATTTCATCTTCGTTAAACGATGTTTGTTAACTTTCCTTTCCTTTTGTTTTGTTTTTTTATTTTTAGATTTTCCTCTCATCTCTCTTGGCTTACTCGTAATTCGCCACAATGAATCTGTCATGATGCAAAATAGCACCTAAAGTAGATGAAAACGGCAAGAAATTTGAAATTGAAGGGGACGTCAATGTGTTAGTCGATGAACTGACAAATTAGAGTCGTTTTCCTCGAGAACACACGCAAAAGCAAATATAAAGCAAAACGTTTTCACCCTTTCATTTTTAGGAACCCAAACAAATCAATTCAGTCAACTGTCACCTCAGGTCACCTTAGATTGTAAGGTAAAGACCGTAAAATTATAGAGAAAAAATCCCAACAGTCAGCTGACCCCGGTGAGCAAGCATTTGGTGACAGTGTGAAGGAAAAACTCCCTTTAAACAGGAAGAGACCTCCAGCAGATCCAGCCTCACTGTTTGGAGGTGAGGGGAAAGAGACAGGACTGATAATGAACTTCAAATTGAAAAATTTACCACGATCTGGGAAAGTTATAATTTTACACTATTTTGCTATTTTAACACTCACTTGATAAGTAATTAAAATACCTTTATGTTAATCTAAACATGACAAAAGTCATCACTAGTCTGGAAAACGGTCCTAAAGTCAAAGTCTCTTTAACAGGAGTTCTCTTTATCGAATTACAGGTCAAAGCAGTGCTCTGCCCAATGTCTTCACACCAGCTGTCTTCCTGAGTCATCCTGGAAGCTCAGCATCTTCTAACCTGACAGAGTATCGTGGGAATGAGTCCCCAGAGCATGCACGTATTCCTGCAGGCAGGGATGAATCCGCGGGTGAAACCACAACCCTCAGCGAGACAGAAGGAACAGTCCGTGCAGAGACTCTGACAGATGCAGTACTTAAAACCCACTTGTTCACAGCAATCCCCGCAGTACTTACATCTCAGCACGCAGACCTCGGTACTCTAACTCCTTCAGGTAATCAGCCTCATATGACTAATCTTAAAAAGCTGCATCTTTATCATTAGGAACGTGCGATTATGGTGATCATAATTCTATAATTGTCCATCTATAATTTTCAAGTCCGGTCTGTTTAGATTGACCAGACTGGAGCCTTAAAATAAAACTTCCCACACACTTAAACACTGCCTGTTTGCAAACACAGGCTCTTCTTGGGCACAGTGCCTTTTGCCAGCAATGTTCATGCAACACACTCCTCACCTGACCTGACCCCCGCTTGACTGGACTGAGAATAAGAATGTGTGTCGCAACCTTGTTTAAAAGATTCCTTTTATAGATTATATAAATATAACCCACTCAGCTGATGCCGTGTTACTGCTTTGAGAAGCACAGAAATAACAATATGACAGATCCCTCTCACTTGTCCCTTTTTGACCCTTTGTTGTTGCCCCGTCCCTGCAGAATAACGTGCAGGCTGCGTGAGGCTTCTCGCTTTGAAAGCTGAAAATATTCTCACTCGAAAATATTCTCACTATAATCCAATTAGAACACAAACATTTTTGTGGTTTGTGTATTTTCTTGACGCCACACGTTACTTTGACAGTCTGTCCGTTCTGCTGCAGGAATGTAGTCCGGCTGTCAATCACACCATGTGCACCACATTCTCAGCCCCCGCCAAACTGTCAGTGCAGGCACATGTGCAGGAGGTGAAATGAAATACACCCACACCGAGAGAAAGTTATTGTTCCACGTATAAACAATCATCAGCCACTTTATTTCGTTACACCTGTTCAACTGCTCATTAAAGCTAATCAGTCAATCACATGGCAGCAGCTCAGTGGATTTAGGCATGCAGACGCAGTCAAGTTGACCTGCTTAAGGTGAAAACAAGCATCGGATTTCTTGGCGGACTTTGGGCCTTTAGCACCAGCTGAGCCATGTACACCACAGCCTACCTGAGTATTGCTGCTGACCATGTCCATCTCTTTATGAACAGTTTGTACCCACTATGTTGTGAAAAAAGGCCTCCACAGACACCTGATCTCAGTCTAGTAGAGCACCTTTGGGATGTGGTAGAACAGGAGATTCACATAATGGTGTGCACGTGACAAATCTGCAGCAACTGTTTGGAATCGCTGGGATATATTTAAATTCTTAAGCAAACAGTAGCTACTTATTTAATGTAGTTCTGTGGCTTTAAGCTGAGACCTCAGAGTCCAAAGCTCTTGGAGAAAAGACAGAGTACCTCTGTGTGAGCAGTGATGCTTGAAAGCGCAGGCCATCGGGATTCACAGCGTTCTGATATACTGACAAAGAACAACATATAAATGTAGGTCTTCTGTAATTTGCACCGATTTTTGTCAGGGCGTGGGCCACACATGCTGCACAAACACAATCGCGGCAGCTTTGACGTCAGCAGGGCAGTGCAGCGTTACCTCTGGCTGTTGTGAATGCATTTCATTTCGTTTGAAGAATCTCTACTGTTTTGAATTGATACAGCACTGCGCTCACATCCCCCCTTTCAGCTGCCGCAGAGAGCCTTTCATCAGCGCCGACAGTTCAGAGCACCACCCCTCTGCACCCTGCAGCTACAGAAGCCAAAACCCCTCTGACCAACCATTCCCTCTCTACCTTTTCATCTCAGCCAGCCCCAGCAGTGCACCACACAAGCTCCACAGCACCCACCTTCACCACATGGCCACACTCTGAATCTTTGAACACAGCTACCGCATCTCCAGGTGGAGCCCCTGCTGGGTCAGTGTACAAGGAGGTCCAGTCTGTAAATAAATTTGGCGGTGAAGGTAAGGTGATTGCCAGGTGCTAAGTGTGATGAGGGTGTTGCCTTAAGCTTCCTCTACCATGACCTATTTTATTTTCTTCATATCATATCAAATTCTTTATCGTGTAGAGAGTCACCGTTCCAGCTCCCCTCTAGACCCTCTGCTGGCTGGTCTGCTGTCAGTGTTTATTGTCACCACAGCTATCATCTTTGTCGTCCTCTTCCTCAAGTTCCGCCAGCGTACTAACCACCCGGAGTTCCATCGTCTGCAGGACCTACCCATGGTAAGATACAGTCTAGTACCTTTGCATTACCATTTTCACCACTTTTATTTAAAATCTCCATCTTAGAAGCCCCCAAACTTTATGAAAGTCAAATACCAAATAACTGCATCTTTTATTAAGCACCCTTCACTGTCAAGATGAACTTGGGCATTAGAATATTAACTGCAAGCAGAGATGACATATTGGAACGTGACTTGGCCGCTAGCTTATTTCTTGATCAGGTGTTAATCTTGAGATGTGGTTTAGCTGATCAAAAATATTCGAGAGCTTAGGTAAGAGAAACTGAAAATTATTTTCATAGATTTTATTAGATCCTCACTAGCCACTTCATTATTTACACCTTGCTAGTGGTTGGCTGGACCCCTGTGGCCTTCAGAACTGCTTTTATTCTTTGTTGTCTAGATTCAACAAAACATTCCTGGAAACATGCCTCAGAGATCTTGGTCCATATTGTCATGACAGCTGATAAACCTGCAGCTTTATCAGCTGTGCATCCATGATATGAATCTCCAGTTTCACCACATCCCAAAGGTGCTTGACTGACATCTGATGACTGTAAAGGTCATCCGAGTACAGACAACTCATTGCCAAGATACCAGTTTGAAAGGATTTGAGCTTCGTGACATGATGTGTTGTGTGAAGCAGCCATCAGAAGATGCTCTGATCATAAAGGGATAGATATGGTCAACAACAGTATTCAGATAGTCTGTGACATTGTGCCAAGAAAACACCCCCAACACCATAACGCCACCAGCAGCAGCCTGAAACATTGATATAACGCACAATGGATCCCTCGTGTTGTTTTCGACCTTTTCTGACCCTACCATCCAAAATGTTGCAGCAGATATAGATTTATCAGGCTAGGGAACGTGTCTCCACATTTTCTATTGTCCAACTTTGGTAAACCTGTATGAATAGTAGCCTCAGTTTCCATTTCTCAACCCACTCTTCTGCACACCTGGGTTGTAACAAGTGGTTTATTATATTTTATATTAGAGTTATTACAGTTAGTGTTGCCCTCCTGTATGACTCAAGCAGCCTGGGCAGTCTCCTCTGACATCAACAAGATATTATATATATCACTCAATGAACTGCCACTAACTGGATTTTTTTTCCTTTTTGGACCATTCTCTGTAAACTATAGAGATGCGTGTGTGGGAAAATTTCAGTAAATAAGCAGTTTCTGAAGGTCAGCCCACCCCATCTGGTGCCAACAACCATGCCACAGTCACAGTTTCTTAAATCACAGGTGTTGAACTCCAGGCCTCAAGGGCCGGTGTCCTGCAGGTTTTAGGTGTGTCCTTGATCAAACACAGCTGATTAAAATGGCTAAATGACCTCCCCAACATGTCTTGAAGTTCTCCAGAGGCCTGGTAATGAACTAATCATTTGATTCAGGTGTGTTGACCCAAGGTAATAATATCTAAAACCTGCAGGACACCGGCCCTTGAGGCCTGGAGTTCGACACCCCAAATGCACCGAGTCTCTGCACTGTGATTAGGTCATTAGATATTTCTCCAACAGGAGGTATACCTAATGAAGTGGCAAGTGAGCGCATATTTTGAATTATGCTCTGTGGAGTACTGATAATGTTTTTTTAAAATCACCTTATTTAGGATGATTTGATGGAGGACACGCCACTGTCCAGGTACACCTACTGACAGAAGCTCCTGTTCTGTCAGTCACTTCCATCACTCAGAGGACCGAAGCAAGTCTAACACCAAAGGAAGACCACTTTGGATGTGAGCAAAACCTTTCTCTTTGGCACTGAGAACCTACTGTTAGCGATTAAGAAAAAAAAACTTATTTAACCAAGGATTCTTAATGTTTTAAGCGGGAAGTTTCTTTCACATTCCTTTTAAAGTTTTGGAGACATTCAGTGTGCTGAGAACTCCCCACCCCGATGGAAATTAAGATGACTGCGCTCCTGACTGACTCCTGCACAGCACTTTAATATGACACAAACGGTTACACTGCCCTCTAGGGGTGATCTGAGGTAATGTGGATCAAGGTCGCATGAAGTCCTCCGTAACTGTAAGAATAGCCAGTAAGGCAGAATGAAGGCTCATGGGAAAGCTGCTCAAAACAATCACAATCCCTCGGGTGACCAAATGTTAGTGAAGTGCATTTTCAAATCAAATTGCCCAATCTGTGTCATGTGAAGCTAAGGTCTTGCAGAATGTTGACAAAAAAATAAACAGATTTTACAATTGAAAAGCCACATCTTTGGAGAAACAGACACGCCAGGTCTCCAACAGTGGAAACCACTTTATTTTTCCAAATTGTAATTTAGCCTGAATTACAAATGCAGATTATTTACTGTTGCAGTTTTTAAACATGCAGTTATGTTCACAAAGTCATGGAAATCTTGAATTTAGTGATTGCTTTTCTTTAAATGTTTAGTCTGCCAGTGTTTACTAAGGAGATACCCTGCTAAGCCAAATACTTAGATATCTGTAAATTGTAAAACTCACTTAGTAAAAGTGTTGTTCGCACATAGTGGAGATTTGAGAGCAGCATTGGAATCATTTTAAGGGTCCTTCATCTGGACTGGTTGGAATGCACTGCAAATACAGTGGAACGAAGCTCTGATGTTTTAACTTGGTTACTTTACTGCCTGCAGTGATGTATGATGAAATGCAAGAATGACTTTCCTGTTTAATGAAAATAAATATCAAATCTATGTATGTGGGGTGTGGCAAAAGCAATAACAGGTGGGTAAGCTCTTAGGCATTATGCAGTGTCACTGTGTGAACGACAGTTTCTATTGTCAACTATGATTCGCTTAAGACTTCAGCAGCGTTGGTTCCTGCCTGTCCAGACAAGGTAGGTGCACTTTGAACATTACTCCAAAAAGAAGAGCCACTCCCTCCACACACAGGCCATTGTTAACCACATTCAGGCAAAGACATTAAACAGCTGATATGAGAAGGTGTCAGTTCTATGACAAACATGAGAATAGAAGTTATGGAGGATTTTAATTACAAAAGCAGGACAGTTGAATAACCATCTTTAGTCACTCAGTGTACAGAGTTCCTTTTCAGCACAATAAACAAGGAATTTCTTCATCATTACTTCTTTTTATTCATTAATAAATGCACGATTGTAGATGATATTAAGAGTTTAGGCCCAATTCATAGATTGCTGTTAACATTATAAGAAACTGATAACTCATGTTACAAAAGTGCTAGTCTGCATTATTCTAAATCAGGCCATACAGTTCTTGAAGAACTAGTTAGATTAGCTAACACACCTGACTTAACCACTTAAAAGATGAGCACAGTGCAAATGTATGAGTTACACCATAGCGATGATGACTGAATTGGCCCAGGCGTAAATTTTCATTACATATTGGATCAAACACCAAAACGGTTCATACATGAGCTCCCCCTCCAGCCCAGCAGAGAGCCTCCGAAGTTCAGTGTGGCCAGC